TGGGCAATTCTCCTGCCTCAGCCTCCTGAGTAGCTGGGATTACAGGCACGTGCCACCATGTCCAGCTGATTTTTTGTATTTTTAGTAGAGACGGGGTTTCACAATGTTGACCAGGATGGTCTCGATCTCTTGACCTCGTGATCCACCGGCCTCGGCCTCCCAAAGTGCTGGGATTACAGGCTTGAGCCACCGCGCCCGGCTTAATTTTTGTATTTTTAATAGAGATGGGGTTTCACCATGTTGGCCAGGCTGGTCTTAAACTCCTAATCTCAGGTGATCCACCCACCTCAGTCTCCCAAAGTGCTGGGATTACAGTGTTAGCCACCGTGCCTGGCCAACAGACTGGCTTTTGAATCCTGATTTTTCCATGTATTCGCTGTAAGGCAAGTTACTTAATCATGCTAAACCTCAATTTCCTTATATTCTAAGTGAAGCTAAATCTAAACATAGGGTTTTTATGAGAATTTAATAAATTAAAACATATAAAGCATTTGGCCTAAAGTTAGAACTAAAAAAAAAAAAAGGAGCTATTATAATGATGTATTTTAAATGAATAAGAAGCTTCCTGAAGGAGTTCCTTCTGCACCTCCCATAATCTCTCAGCACAGAGTAGTGCACATATGATGGAGTTTTGGGATGGAGCTGGGCTAGAGGGGTATCAATCTTTCCGCTTCAGAGATTTAACAAGCTGAGTATGGTGGAAATCTCTTTGAAGTTTTAAGATACCTTGAGGCAGTCAGGAGTGTGACTTGTACCCTCATGTGTGTCATCCTGAACCAGCAGATATCAGGGTGTATCTGGATCATTGCTGCAATGAGTGTGTTGCAAGCCTGTTCCTTCTGCAGACATGACTTCCTTGATAAGGCTGACATGATCTTACAGCGTCAAGTTCTGATCTCTTCTCCAAACCCAGCTAGAAAGTTATGAGGTAGCAGAGTGCTGCTAATCTCACTCTCAAAAATCCCTCCTTCCCCAGGTAGGGGAAACCCTGTCCTGGGTGCTGAGTTAGAATTAGGAATATATTAGGTTGGTACAAAAGTAATTGCGGTTTTGTAATGGCAAGAACTTCGATTAACTTTGCACCAACGTAATATATTTTTTTCTATTATGAACATGATTATTTGCAGGTGATAGGTACTGTCAGACTCACTGCTATTAATAACAGGTAAAGGCTGGGTACAGTGGCTCACATCTGGAATCCCAGAACTTTGGGAGATTGAAGTGGGAAGATTCCTTGAGTCCAGGAGTTCAAGACCAGCCTGGGCAACATAGCGAGACTCTGTCTCTAAAAATAAGAAATTACAAAAATAAATGAATAAATAATGGGTAAAATAAGACCATTAGGACATAGCCTGAGATCCTAGCCTCTTTAAGTAACGTGATTTCCTATGGGAAATGTGTCATCAGTTCCAAATAATTGATTTACAGGTAAAACATCAAAACATAAGCCATTAGAAAAAAGGGCTGCAATCCTTCACATCTTTAATATAGGAAGAGGGAAAAAGTCTGCAGAGCAGAGTGTTGCAAGAGTTGGGCACTGTGCATTTTTCTACATTTGAGGTAATCAGAACAACAGTTGAGCAATTTGTTGCAAAGAGCAACCCTGGCTTCTTAGTGATCACCAAGTCAGAGACATTGAGTGAGGTTGGGCTCCATAGCCACCCCGTGCCCTTGCTATGTCTGGATGCCTCCTTATTCCTGGATACTCCTCCTTGAGAAGAGAAGGCCACCTTCCTGCCCAGGACTCTCTGGAAGCTTCCGAGTACTGCCTAGAGAGGCCCTGTGCCTACACTCCCTCACCTTAAATCAACCTGGCTATAAGCAGCTTTCCAAACGTTCTTTCCCAAATCCCTCTCTAACTTCTTGTCAGCCTCACTTCTGGTGTCTGACTGCTGTGGGCATGGATCGCTCATCAGTCAGTCGGAAAACAGGTAGACGCTAAGAGCCCACTGTTGCCTAGCATTCCTCTAGGCTCTGCGAGTACAGAAAAGAAAAAAATCTCTGCTCTCTTTTCTTTTTTTTTTTTTGAGTTGGAGTCTCGCTCTGTCTCCAGGCGCCAGGCTGGAGTGCAGTGGCACGATCTCGGCTCACTGCAACCTCCGCCTCCTAGGTTCAAGCAATTCTCCTGCCTCAGCCTCCCAAGTAGCTGGGACTACAGGCGCACTCCACCACACCCAGCTAATTTTTGTATTTTTAGTAGCTGCGGGGTTTCACGATATTGGCCAGGATGGTCTTGATCTCTTGACCTTGTGATCCACCCGCCTTGGCCTCCCAAAGTGCAGGGATTACAGGCATGAGCCACTGCGCCCAGCCGAATCTCTACTCTCAAAAGAATTTATAAACTAGTTTGGGAAGCAGTGTATGCTAGTTCAAACACAGGATTCAAGTCAGCCAGCCCTGATCAGAATCTCAGGTCTACCATTTCCTAGCTGTGTATTCTGAGACTCAGTTTTTTCATTTGTAAAATGGGGATGATAAAAGGGCTATCTCAGAGAACTGGTATGAGGATTGTGTTGTAAGATAAAGTATTTAGCAGAGCCTGCACATAGTAAGTGCTCAATAAAAGTTAGCTGTTATTATTGTCATCATTCAGCGAGTCCCAGATGGAGTATCAACTAGTCTAGGCTGTGTAGGAACCTAATAACACCCTCCTCAGTCTTCTCAGACCTGGGGGAGGAGGTATTGCTTTGTGGGCCACAAAGAGATACAGGGATGGACTGGTTCCCCCTTGGAGAAGGGCTTTGGGCATGCACCAAGGTGCTGCTCTTGATGTCCTGGTGAAGGCAGTCTGCCTGTCTTGGCTCAGTTCAGCACCGGTCACCTTGTTAGGCTTGGAAACCGAACAATGGGAACTTCCCCTGCCTTTGAAGAATTTGCCAGCTAGGTGGGGGTTCAGGATATGCACACAAGATGTAGCTTTAACATAATGAGGAAGAAGCATATTAATTGACAAGAACAGCTGGACACAGTGGTCTGTAATCCCAGCACTTTGGAGGCTGAGGAGGGCAGATCACCTGAGGTCAGGAGTTTGAGACCAGCCTGGCCAACATGGTGAAACCCCTGTCTCTATTAAAAAAAAAAATACAAAAATTAGCTGGGCATGATGGTGAACACCTGTAATCCTAGCTACTCAGGAGGCTGAGGCAGGAGAATCGCTTGAACCTAGGAGGTGGAGGTTGCAGTGAGCTGAGATCACGCCATTGCACTTCAGACTGGGTGACAGAGCAAGAGTGTTTCCAAAAGAAAGAAAGAAAGAGAGAGGGAGAGAAAGAGAGAAAGAGAGAAAGAGAGAAAGAAAGAAAGAAAGAAAGAAAGAAAGAAAGAGAGAGAGAGGAGGAAGGAAGGAAGGAGGGAAGGAGGGAGGGAGGGAGGGAGGGAGGAAGGAAGGAAAGAAAGAAGGAAAGAAAGAAGGAAAGAAAGAAAGAAATGACATGCTAAAAACTTGATATGCCTATGATAAATGTTTAGGGCAAGAAATGCTTGTTGATACATCCACATTCTGGACTTCTGGGTAAAATATTTGGATTGTGTTAATACTACCGGTAGCTCTATGGCAATAACAGCAGAAAGGCTCTTTTCTTACCAGCCTTCCCACTTCCGTCTCTTTGTTCCCTGTGTCTGTTTCTCTTCCCAGACAAACCGCGGCCTGGACCAGCTGGTGAAACATAATTCTGAATCCTGCCCACAGCCTTCGGTGGTGTTGGATGAACGGCCAGAGCCTTGGGAGCCCTGAGTTTGATTTCAAGTTTTAAGGCCGGCACCAGTGGAGTGATGAATGGTGAAAGCTGTCCCCTTAAAGGAGCACAATTGCCTTTAGGTGACTGCTAACTCTGGGCTTTTGCTGAGGACAGTGTTTACTTTGTGAGCTTAATGACAGGGCTGGCTTTCTGGGAGTGTTGCAATGAAACAGACTCAGACAGAGGCCATCATGGACCTCCTCCCTAGCAAGGCCATTACGGCTGGCATCTCAAGAGCAGTTCCATTGAACTTGGGATTTGGGCGTGAGACACAGTTTCATCAGAAGAATTTAAACCGAAGTCTACATTTGCCCTCTGGATAAATGTGTGTGTTCGGCAGCAACCACAGCTCCTTGCCTCATTCTCTTAGTTAATTATGTGACTGTGAGAAGAAGAGCAAAAGCAAAACTGAGCAGCGTGGCTCTGGTGCTATTTTAGTATAAAATACTCTTGTGGAATTTGAAAGTACCATAGAAATCACCTACAGATGGAAAAAACTGAAGCTCAGAGAAGGGAAGTGCCTTGTCCAAGATCACACAGCACATAAGGGAAGAAGTAGGACTGAAATCCACACTTCTCTGTTCCTGGTCCTGGTTTCTCTTTTCTGTTTTTGAGACAGGGTCTCACTGTGTTGCCCAGGTTGGAGTGCAATGGGGCAATCTCGGCTCCCTGCAACCTCCAACTCTTAGGGTCAAGAGACCCTCCCTCCTCAGTCTCCATAGTAGCTGAGATGCCTGGCTAATTTGTATTATTGGTAGAGACGGTTTCACCATGTGGGCCAGTCTGGTCTTGAACTCCTGAGCTCAAATGATCTGCCCACCTTGGCCTCCCAAAGCATTGGGAATACAAGTGTGAGCCACCGCGCCTGGCCTGGTGCCGGTCTCTTTTCACTGTTATACAGCTGTCGACAATCATGGAGAGTTCTTTTTCCCTTTTGTTGGGTTCTTCTTCCTTTGCAAAGCCTAAAAAGAACCAAGATGATCCAGGAAATTCAGGGAGTCCTCATTCACTTCCAAAGGCAGTTTGTTGTCTGTTGGCTATGCTGTATGAATTGCTGTTTCAATTAAGTTTTCCAGCATTTCATAGGAAGGCATGCAAATGACCACTGATTCTAAATAAACCCATTTAGATATTCAGGGTTTCTAAATACAGAGGATCTTGCTTTCTGTCTCATTCTTTCTCTCTTCCCTGGCTTTCTTCCCTCTATCCACCTCCATTAAGATGCATTTTTAAAAAAGACTTTACTTAGGACACATATTTTGATGAAATCCTGAACACTTTTCTTCTTTCCCAATTTTTACATTGTCATTGTTATAATGTATTATGATAATTTATATTTGGAAAATTTGTTTTAATATGTTAATTTTGCAATGTGGCCATCTCAAGGCTTCTAATGAGGAGGAGGGGGAGGCTGCAGATAGCACGAGGCAGAGAGACTTTTAAAGATGTGGGTAGGGTGTTTGTGAATGTCTGGGCAGTGGAATATTTATGCAGTGCTGTGGGTGTTTTGAACCCTCTGGAAACTAACAAGCAAGCTCCACACATAAACTTGATGGAAGTCCTCCAAACTTTGGACAACACAGAGGCCTTTCAGAAGCCTGAACCAAGTCCAAGTCAAATTACAGCCCAGGGCACTGGTGCAAATGAGAGGCTGAGCAGATCAGAGGAAATGACACTGGTCCAGGACCCCAGGAACCCAGGGCCTGGTGCCGGGTCTACCACTTAGCAGTAATTTCCTTGTCAGTAAAAAGGGAGGATAATAGCTCTTATCTCATGGAGTTGCATTGATGGGAAAAATAAAATAATGTATGTAAAATCCTGAGCACAATGCCTGTCCTGTAATAGCACTTACTATTTGTATGAGATGCCAATAGGCTTTTGGAGAAAAATACATTTGTACTGACAGTCAGTCATCTAGAGACGGCCCCCACTCAAGTAGTGAGGCAGCAGGATCACAGCCACAGGCTTTGGAGATAGACAGGTCTGCTTTTAGATCCCAGCTCTGGCATTTTCTAGCTGTGCAGTCGTGGGCAAGTTACCTAACTTCTTTCCACCTCAATACCCATCTCACAGGGTTATTGAGTGGATTAGTGAGGTAGCCCATGTGAAGCACCTGCCTCAGTACCTGGCATATAGTAGGTGCTCAATAAATGGTGGTTAGTGGTCCAGGTCCTTAGAGAAAGGAGCTGTAAGAAGCCAGCTGGAGGAGTGAGGCAGCTGAGCCAATTATAAAACTAGCAGGGTTAAAAAACAAAAAAACAAAAAAACAAGGAGAGCAAAGTCAACCCCTCTGGGGCCTATATTAGTTTCCTGTGGCTGCTAGAACAAATTGACGCAAACTGGGTGGCCTAAAACTATAGAAATTTTCCCACAGTTCTGGAGATGAGAAGTTCAAAATCAGTATCACTGGGTCAAAAGCAAGGTGGCAGCAGGGCTGCACTTTCCCCAAGGCTCTGGGGAGAAACTGCTCCTTGTCTTTTGCAGCTCCTGGTGGCTGCTGGCATTCCTTGGCTCATGGCTGCATCCAGTCTTTGCCTCTGACTTCACCTCTCTCCGCGCATTCCCTGCCCCCCGCAATGTTCCTCGTTCTCTAACTTGTAAGACACTTGTGATTACATATAGGGCCCACCTGGATAGTCCAGGATAATCTCTCCATCTCAGTCTCCTTAATCAATTAATTAATTTTTTGAGACAGGGTCTCACTGTGTCGCCCAGGCTAGAGTGCAATGGCGAGAACACGGGTCACTGCAGCCTCAACTTCCCAGGCTCAAGCAGTCCATCTCACCTCAATCTCCTGAATAGCTGGGACTGTAGGTGTATATCACCATGCCCAGCAAATTTCTTTTTTTTTGAGACAGGGTTTCACCACATTGCCCAGGCTGGTCACGAATTCTTGAGCTCAAACGATCCACCCACCTCAGCCTCCAGACCTGGACTTAGCATCCTTAATTGAATCACATCTGCAAAGGCCTCTTTTTCTTATTAGGTAACAATTATAGGTTCCAGGAATTAGGGCATGGTGTCTTTAAGGGCCATTATCCTGCCTGCCATAGGGCCTCATGCACCAGTAGCTGGGAGAGGATTTCAGTTTGCTTTTCCCTGGAGTGATGTGGCAGGGATGGGAGTGTGATGAGAAGGAGAGGAGAGATGCCACCAGAGCAGTGACAAAGTCAAGCCAAGTCTAGCCTGTATGGTTAGGGACAGAGCAGGATAGATGAGGGATATAGGGGACATATGGAGACCACATGGAGATAGGCAAGGGGACATCAGCAGAGCCACAGAGCAGAGCGGAACTCAGCACTAGCGTCTGAGCAGGGACATGTTAATGGCCTCTAGGGAAAGGCATGAGTCACTTGGACATCCAGCAAGCGGAGGGAAGAGACCAAGGTGTGCCTGATTGCACTGGTGAAGTTCAGAGCCAAGGTAGACAGCACCGAGAGCCTTAGACCCAACAGCTCTTGCCTAACCTCCCTGAGCTGGGCCTGGCTGGGCCGCAAGGAATAAGACATAGTCCATGTCTTTGAGCAGTTCACATCCTAGTGCGGGAGACAAGCATATTAAAGTGTTTTACTAGCAATGCACATATGCATATGGTTCTGAGGGAACATGTAAAAGAACAGCTACTCTATCTGCAGCTGGAAGGCAGTGGATCTAGAACGTTTCAAAGAGAGGAGGCATTTGAGGTGGATTTTTCCACCTTTTTCTAGACAAGGTCACATTCATAGGTGCTAGCATGTGGGCATAATTCTTGGAGCCATTAAAGTTTGAGAAGGATTTTTCCAGGCAGAGGTGGACAAAGCTGGAGTTGAGGGACAAGAAGGCAGGCAGGGTTGGAGAGGCTAGTGACCGTGCACGTTTCCTTACTTCACCTTGATGTGAAACAAGCTCACTCTTCTTCCCACTGAAACAGGCAATCAAGCGTTGCCAGGGTTTTATAATAAATGACGAACTGCAATCTAAATTAGAGCCCTGAGATTGGAGTTAGAAGGCAAACTCAGATCTCAGCTTTGCTATTACTAGTGGAGTGATGTTGGGAAAACCACTCCAGCCCTCTGAGCTCCATTGCCCTATCTGCAAAATAGGCTTTGCAGGGGAGAAACGTCTTCCTCTGAGGAGGAAGTGAAATAATGCAAGGGAAATAGTCGGAAAATCTACTTGCTCAAATAAATGTTAGTTTCCTGCCTGCTTTATAGGTAAGGTAGTTTAGTCTGACAGATCACTGGGCAAATTGTTCTTCCTGCTAGGAAGGGACAGTAGTGTTACCCAACACCTTCATGAATGTCAAAGACATCTCACCTTACCAAGAGCAAGACTTATTTTCTCCGTTGTAGTTTCTTCTTCCTTCTCTCTGCCCCATCTCCATACTCACAGGACAACTTCAGATTCTGCTCAGTCCTTTTATACCTTTGTCCTTCTATATTTTGCCAATTTGAGACTGTTCACTTCTAAAGAGAAGGCAATTTCTTAGTATGGTAGGCACTAATCAATACACTTGCATACTCTCCATTCCAGGCAGCAACCATCACACTCCATAATCCTTGACTTTCTGGGAGCAGAACCAGCGGCTCTGCATTGCAGCTCACTAGCTTGTGTAATTCTCCCTTGGCCACTCCCATCATGCTTCTGACAGCCCAGTTTTGAGACAAATGCTATCCGAAGATCCACAGGAGGTACATCAGTACAGTGGTTCAAAGGATGGAGTTTGGAGTGACAGAACCTGGGTTCAAATCCTGGCTCTGCCATTTCACATCTAAGCTTCAATTTCTTTCTCTACAAAGTCCAAAAATGATAGTATCCACTTCAGAGGGAATATTACAGGGATTAAATACGATGCTTGTAAATTGCTTAGCACAGTACAGAGCTTCTATTAACTAGTTTTAAAGGGAAGGATTAGGACTAGAAAGATGCAAAACTTATTTAGAAAGCTAGGAAGAGATGGAATGCTCTAACAGTACTTCCAACTCGCCCATGATTTCCAGTGACCAGATGACAGGGGCGAGTCCCGTGCAAACTGTGAGCTGATGGAAGGGTTGATGATGAGAAAAAAAAAAAAAGCCTCTTCTCCAAGCTAACCTCTTCAGAGGCCCGGGTGGGGCCTGAAATCCTAGCCCCTAGGCAGCTGATCTTTTGACCATACATCTCTCGGAGTTCTCTGATATAAAACAGAAAGTAAACACATGGTATCATTAACATTTTCTGCTCAAAATCTTTTTTTTTTTTTTTTAATAAATTTTGAACACAGAGTCTCTCTCTGTTCCTGAGGCTAGAGTGCAGTGGCATGATCTCAGCTCACTGCAACCTCTGCCTTCTGGGTTCAAATGATTCTCATGCCTCAGCCACCCAAGCAG